TAGCATTGATGATATAACAATCAATCATTCATACTACTCGAGGTACATACAGTTGATCATTCCCTCCACACTCGTGTATGATTAATGGGGTATCACTATATGGTAATTTCTTAGCAATCTAGATGATACTAAGCACAATACGATAATAGCATACTATAGAGTTATAAGCATCGATAATAAGAAATCATTGAACTAAATGAGCATCGATAACAAACACATAGGCATCGAATCATAAACATCAATGCATACATATAGGCATCGAAAATCACAAGCATCAAGACACGTATAATATGAAATCATAGCATCAATATATACATAGATAATAGATAAATGAGTTGTCATTCTCATACAATTAATTTTGAACTAAATATACAAAGAAGAGAATGAGGGCAACACCATTGATGATGAAGGTATCTCCTTAGCTTCACCCTCTCCTATGAATGCTAAGCTCTCGCTGGAAAAGGGTTTTCAAAGTTTTGAATGGAATTGCGCAAGTCTCGCTGGGGACGATTAACATCAATGTGAATTGAGGCGATAGCTAAAGTGCTTCATTACGTAATATTCATGAAAGAGGTGTTATCCAAAAATAAGAAAGTAGGAGACATATCATTCGTTTAGCTTGGCACCGAGTGCTCTGCAATACTAAGCCAGCTTCGAATCCACGAAAAGATAAAGGACCTAGGGAGTTTCGCTTTACCTTGAAACATTGAAGGGTATAAATTGAATTCCCTAAAATTCTAGTTGATTTCGGTGCTAGCATCAACCTAATGCCTTATGTTCTTTTTAGGAAGCTACACGTGAGTGGTCTAGCAACTATTAGCATGACTATGCAGCTGGCCGGTAAGTCATCACGACAGCCTAGAGGTATGGTGGAGGATATCATGGTTTATGTAGGGCCATTCACATTTACAACCGATTTCAGTGTCATGGACACCAATGACTCTAATGCCACGCATATTTTGAACTGGCCGTTTTTGGCGACTGCCCAAGTCTTGGTTGACATGCATGGTGGAAAACTCATGCTTAGGATGGGTTCCACTCATGTCACATTTAAAATGAAAGAGGGGATGCAACAGGTGCACCTCCATGATAATGAAATAACATTCTAAGAGGCGACTGAATCTTATCTTATGTGACTCCATGTGTCTCGAATGATCACCCTCGAGGTGTGCTTAATCTCCAACCTCGAGAATGCAAAAGAGGGACGAAAGCAAGAGGCGACATTGGAGTAAATTCGTGTCAATTTTTTGTTGGCTATTGTGATTGTAACCACTATTTTGAGAGTAGCTTCAATGAACAAAGTCGACATTAGCATTTTGAATTCAATCGATGTTTAAGCACTTTTCATCTCGTATGATCTTCTTCGCCGCACCATTCCTAGGATTTAGACTTGTGCACTGTTGGGTTGTGTTTTGAGTGAATATGGAGAGAATGTTCTATTTGGGATGTTCCTCTTACGGCATGAGGCTCTAGAATCTTGAGAAGTCTGCTTAAATTATGTGGTTGGTTTCAATATCAAATGGAAAGCACAACTAATGGGGACGTCACATGGGAGGGAAAACTTATTAAGAAATTTTCTCTCAGTTATATGTACGTCTCCATTATAAAGAAAAAAGCAGTAATGCAGTTAGTGATGGCAATTTGAACTCACCCCGCTGATATTATCCGACCGGACCCGCGATGGGACGGGTATTACCCGACCCACAGTAGCATAGGGCGGGGCATGGGTATCCACTTCCGAACCGCCATGCCCCGTGCCTGACCCATTTTATCTCAATTTCTTACACTGTCTATACATATTTCTCCTTTTTTTATCACTAGTTAAAGTCGATCTTTGAACTTGTTAGACTCAATTACCCATTCTATTATCACTATTTTTCATTCATAAAGTGTTTTCCCTTTCATTTTATCGTAAAAAGTAAAATTTGCATGTATTTTTTTCAAATAACATTTAGAATGGGTCGACCCGCCCCCAACCCGTAGTAGCAAGGGGCGACGCATGGGTATTGAGGTACCCGTCCCGCCCTGCCTCATTTCCATCACTAAATGCAGTGGTGGAGAGTGATATGGAGCAAGTTTACATTGCCTAGTAATAGGTTCCTTGCTTGGCTCATTATCTAGAATTGTATAACCACTTGTGATAAGCTAAAGGATTGGGGAAATAATATTGATGATTCATATGTGCTTTGTAATAGTGGAGGTGATGTGATTCTCCCCCTCCCCCCACCCCCTCACCCGTCCGGAATTGCTAAATTCCCCGACCAGGGAATTATGAGGGAGAATCACAAAAGCTAAATTCCCCGTCCGGAATTGCTAAATTCCCCGTCCGGGGATCTAAGACCTGGGATCGAGGATGACGAGCGAATTTACCTTTTGTGTTTTGGATTCTTTTTGGATTCTTTTCCTTTTTCGGGTTTTTGTTCACTTTTTGTTTCTCTAGCCTGTATAAAGGCTTAAACGCGAGTTTTAGGTCAGACATTGAGTAATAGTTAGTTTATTTGGTTCATAAAGCTTTAGACTTGTGAATTTTTTTTGTATAAATCGAGTTTTCCCCTTGATTGTGGTCGAGATTCTACCCTTATATTGATAGAGCCTTCTCCCAGGAGTTAGATTGCACTTCAATTTTGCCTTATCCTTTAGTTTTTCATGTTGTTGAGATAAATTCAGAAATCCCTACAAAGACTGAGGCTGCGGTACTTTGATAACTACATGTGCCAGTTCCATGCTCGTATCAAGTGGTATCAGAGCTACGGTTCAGCACAGTGGCGAGAATGAAGGCGAGATGACATGTTTCTTCTTGTACAAGATCAAAAGACCCCATATTGAACTGGATTGCAGATGAGGATTCTTTGTTAGAGGAAGAATCTCATACGAATAACAAAGAATGGCGGAGCAGCATATTCAGGTTAATGTCTCAGAACTATTATAGACCATTACGGTACAATTTAACGCAACCTTTCAAATTCAGTTCGACAAGATTCATTGGCGATTGGATGAGATGAAGCCCACCAATGACAGCCGCCCTTGTCCTTCGTTGGTGCAACAGAGTTCGAGTTATGATGAATTCGACGTTGAGCTAGAGGACGATTCAAAGAATGCCACCGCTTCTGGCGAGTTCCTTGTAGACAACGAAGAGGTTTCTCCAACATCAGGAACTCTAGAACAATAGAAGGAAGATGGAGATTTCTACGAGATGGACATGTGGAAAAGGAGTAGATGGTTTATTTCAATCCTTTTTACTACTATTGTTATTATGATTTTTCTTGCAGAAGCCCACAATATTATGTGATTTCCCCCTGGGCGGAATTGCTAAATTCCTCGACCAGGAAATTATGTGGAGATCGGGGATCATAAATAGAATGACCCCTGGGGAGTTAGGTTAAACCCCGAACGGGGATCGGGGCTGGCGAATGAATTTACCTCTTGTGTTTTGGCTTCTTTCCTTTTCCTTTTTTGTTCAGTTTTCGTTTCTCTAGCCTATATAAAGGCTTAAACATGAGTTTTAGGTCAGCCATTGAAAAATATTGAGTTTATTTTGGTTCATGCAGCTTTAGCCTTGTGAAATTTCTCTTTATCAATCAAGTTTTTCACTTGATTGTGGTTGAGATTCTACCCTTATATTGATAGAGCCTTCTCCCATATGTGAGATTGCACTTCAATCCGCCTTTTTATCCTTTAGTTTTTCGTGTTGTTGAGAAAAGTTTAGAAAATCCTAAAAGATTGAGGTTGCGTTAATTTGATAACTACGGGTGTCGGTTCCGTGCTTGTAACAGCAAAGGGAAGCGAAACACATTTTTTTGTGCTTGCCAATATTCTATGCAATTCTGTGAAGTTGTCTTTGGCCGACAAGTGCATAATTGGCCTCGAGATTGGGAGGTATTTCTGCACATAACGTGTGTTGAATTGAAGAAGGGTGGCGCATATGGACGAGTGTTTGCTGCAATTTGATGTTGGGCGGTCGGTCTTCTCTGGAAGGAGCGATGCAAGCGAGTATTTGGTGGTTGTCATAGTGATTGGCCAACGCTTTTTCTTCAATTTAAGCAAGATTTTTGCTAATTTTTGTTAGGTCAAAATGTATTTCGGGAAGAGGTGCAAAGTCTACCCTCCTTTAGTGGTTTATTGTAGTAGTGATTAGACCTATTGTGGTCTACTCTGTGGACTCTGTCCATGTTTTTTGGGATGCTTGATCGAGTTCATCAAGAGAGCTTAATAGAAAGTGATAATTCAGGAGGGGGGAAAGTGTAGACATTGTGTCTAATGAGATATGATCATATGAACGAAATTATTCCAACAACTTGTAGAATCCCACAAAAACCCGCTTTTGGAAACAATACGAAAACTACTTCAAATGATTTCACCAGTTTCAGCTGATTTATGTTGTGTTGGCAACACTTATTGTCGCAACAGCAGATGAAAACATAACGAAACAAGCATGTGTAAATAGAAACTACAAACTTCAAATAATACTGGACAAGGCCTAAGTTTTCAGTTTTCAGTTTTCACACACTCCTAATTATTCACACTAATCTACTTATATTCATGCATATGTTCTATTTTTTTCTCACACACTCTTATGAATCTCATTTATTAGTTAATCGAAGTTTTTCACACACACATCTAATACATTGCTTGAAAAATAGATCATCTGTTATTTTGTGAAAATGTAAATTTGTATATGCTGATTTTTTTGGTAGAAATATGCTGATTTTTTTATAATGAATCTGACCCTTTTAATGAAAATGGTGAATTTGATATCCACTAGTAGTCGATTAAAATGTAGATAAGTCTTGGGTGTTTGGGTGTGGCGATCGCCAATACCATCCACCCAAAGGTAATCCAAAATCCCAACTTTGCATACCCACTGCCGTCCATTTGTTTCTCATTCTTCAATCTTCAGCCTCTCAAAGAGTTCCTCTTTCGATTTCTCAATTTCCTTTCTTCTACTCGTGTACCCTCCGAGCTAACCCTCGGAAAACTCCAGACAGGGAAGTGAGGCAGCAATGGCGTCTCTGCGGAACAACCCGATCTCCATCAATCTCTGCTCCAACTTCTCCCCATCAACCCAACAATCCAAAAGCCCTTTCACCGTTTCCTTCTCATCCACTTTCCCCTCTCTCAAAATCGCCACCCACAACCGCGGCCGCTCCTCCGGTGGAAGCGCAGCCGGCGCCAGGATGTCGGCCACCGCCGCAAGCAGCTACGCCACCGCCATCCTCGACGTGGCCAAGGGGAACAACTCGCTGGAGGCCACCTGCGCCGACATGGAGAAGCTCGAGAAGATGTTTTCGGAACCAGGGGTCCTGGGCTTCTTCTCCAACCCAATAATCGACCTGGAGAAGAAGCGGCAAGTAGTGGACGAGATCGCCGAGTCGTCGGCTCTCCAGCCTTACATGGCCAATTTCCTCAACATCCTAATCGAGGCCAAGCGGGTGGATTTGGTGGCCGACATTGTTAGAGAGTTCGAGGCCCTGTACAATCGGTTGACCGAGACGGAGCTGGCGGTGGTGAGCTCGGTGGTGAAGTTGGAGTCCCAGCACTTGGCCCAGATTGCCAAGCAGGTTCAGAAGCTTACTGGAGCTAAGAATGTTAGGATCAAGACCTCGCTGGAGCCTAGTTTGGTTGCTGGGTTCACTGTTAGGTATGGCCCTTCTGGGTCCAAATTGATTGACATGAGCGTCAAGAAGCAGTTGGAGGAGATCGCTGCCCAGCTCGATGTTGGTGATATTCAGCTTGCTGTATGAGTTGTTCTTTGCGTTTCTCTTGTTTTCAGAACCCTCGATGTCTGGTTATTTATAATTTTTGTTCGCTCGGAAACACTATTGTTTGGGTTTGTAAAAGTTTGTGCTTTGTTGGATGGAATCAAGAATGCTGTATAGTATGGTGAGCCTTCGTCCATTCCATTCACAGTTTCGGCCAGTTACGCACAAGGGATTCTGGAAAGGGGAAACAGAATGACTAGGAAGGAAATCAATCAAGTTGACAAGAGGGCATGGATTATACAATAAAAAGGGAGGAAAAACCAAACAAACTCGTTCACCAGTTTCCTAACTCTCACTGAAGAGCAACTAAACTCGTATTCTCCAGTCTAACATTTGATGGATATTCTATACCTTGAGCTGGACTCGCTGTTACCCAAAACGGAACTACTATAAAACCCGGGTGATAAGAGAAAAGTCAGTGCAACGGTTGGTCACATAGGACTCTTGAGTTTGCTCAACTAAATCACTCCGCTGCAACAGTCTCGTTGCCAACTCCTACATTTGTCCCAAACCCTGAGTTCTCTTCTTGACCAACTGAAGAATCAGAAGAATCGATAGGATCGTGCCTAACGCCACCTTCAATCCCACGGTCACCGTTGTGGCCTGATTCGGTCTTGTTCTCCTCTGACGTCCCACCATGACTAACGCCAGAATGTGTGATTGGCAACCCAGGTTTCACCCCTTCTGCTTCACCTGTTGTCTCATCTTTGCTGACTGCCTGATCAACACCAGATTCTAAGTTGCTATTCGAGTTGGAGGACAGAGCGTTACCAGAGACGGTCTCATCGTAGTTGATCTTTTCGGCTTCAGTGGAATCCCGGTTGGATAATCCTCCAATTGCTGAGCCTCCAGTTGTTGCATTTTCTTCAGATGTAGAATCAGACACAGCTGCTGCCAGTGAAGCAGTATCTCCCGTGGTATTCTTGTTCCCAGTTTTTACATTCCCAACCGCCAACACATTTGTAGTTGACTGGTTCTCTGAGCTAGGCAGATTGATGATCCTCTCGTCCTTAATCGTCTGTTCACCACCGGACAACACACTTGCCGAGTTATTAGCAGCCTTGTCACCTTGTTCCTGTTGCAATATTGAGCCTGTTTTAACAATCTCATTGGCAATCCCAGTTCCACTACTATTGGCAACTTCATCTTCCTGACGAGAATTATTAGCAGCCATGTCACCTTGTTCCTGCTGCAATGTTGAGTCTGTTTTAATAATGTCATTGGCAATCCCAGTTCCACTACTATTGGCAACTTCATCTTCCTGACGAGAGTTATTAGCAGCCATGTCACCCTGTTCCTGTTGCAATGTTGAGTCTGTTTTAATAATGTCATCGGCAATCCCAGTTCCACTACTATTGGCAACTTCATCTTCCTGACGAGAGTTATTAGCAGCCATGTCACCCTGTTCCTGCTGCAATGTTGAGTTTGTTCGAATTATCTCATTGGCATTCCCAGTTCTATTATTATTGGCAACTTCATTTACCTGAAGATCATTTATTTTGTCCTTTCCACCGGTGTTTTCATCATGAGTAACAGCACTTGAAGCGTCATCTCCTTTGTAGTTCTCCTCACGGGCCTCATGGGAGTTTTGGCTTCCGTCCTCATGATCCTCATCTTCAGGTAAAGTGACATGGACCTCCTTGTCCTCTTCTTTATTAACTTCACCCTCCTTTGCATCATCATCCTCTCTCCCTTTCTCTTTCTCCTCATCTAATAGATCTTCCTCTACACTTTCTCCATCCAGTTTATCCTGATCATGTTCATCTAACTCATCATCGCCAGCAGCTCTGCTTTCTACTTCAGTCTCTTCAGCCTTCTTTTCCTCTTCCATGTCACGCTTGTTGTTCTCGTCATCGTCATCATCATCACCCCTTTCTTCTTCCTGTTCATGCTTGCTAACATCTTCCCGCTCCTCTTCTTCGTGCTTAGTAAGTTCGAGTTCTTGCTCTAGCTCTTCTGCATGCTTATTGTCTCCTACCCCATTGATGATTTCCTCCTCTGGAACCGTTTCTTCGTCTTCATCTTCAGCCACTTTCTCATTCTTAGCCACATCATCCAAACGAGGATGCAGGTCTTTCCTCCCCAACTTTAGAATCTCATTATCATGAACGTGTGTTCTAGTAGTGGTGGAAACTTTTGCATCTTTATCATCGAACTCATTTTTCTTATCATGGGAATGCTTGACCTGGTATATTAACCAGAAACAGACACCAAGCAACAGGCAAATCTGCAAGACATGCTTCACCTTGATTCCTTTGGACCTAGAATTTCTACTTGGAAACCTTTTTATCATTCTGAATTTTCCAATTCACAACTCTCTTCTCCTCCCTGCATGTTGATATAAAAACAGGTGAATCAATCATAATGTCATAATTAATTAACCATTTTCACTTCAGACCAACGGCCTACTTGATCCCATATCAAACCCCTAACTTTCAATGAGAGGTGAACCTTGATCATAACAAAAACAAGACACCTATTACAAAAATATTACAAAAAAAGACGACTGGTTGGGAAAAAGATACAGAAGCAACATCACGGAGAGTTTGTATACGCCTGAAATGCACATTAGTAAGCCACTTCACATCCAAGCCATCAAACACAAGAAGATAAGAAAAGGGCATCTATCAAATCGATTTCTTTATCTGAAGACAAGGAAGATCCACTCGACAAACTAAACTAAGAGTGATCTTTTCAGACACTCATATACCAACACAGACTCATCAGTTCGTGAGAACGATGATACTGCTTTTCAAGAAAGAAATGATCACTTACATTATAAGAGCCTAGTCTCTTTTAAGACGCTACCTTAAATGGTGCAGAAACGGTGGAAATTGCAAAAAAGAACATCCAAGAAGATAACAAGTAACAGGGCAGAGGGTTTCTAGCGGTTTTCATTTTCCACCATCTTCTGGCATGTATAGAAGTCCCCGTCTCTGACTCTGACTTGGGAAGTAATAAAGCATTGCAGAATCGAACAAACGTTCGCTCTAATCTTCGGACTTGGTTACGTTCTTGAACCTAAACTGCTTTACAGGTAACCACAATACTAAGCTCGTTACTTCTAGTAGTAGCAAAAGTAAATGTAAAAGAATGGCGCTTTCCGTCAGAGAAAACAGAGCGACGCGTATATTTTGACCAACTACATACCACACCTCAGAAGAAACCCCTTAAAAATTCCAAAGGCAAAACATGCAGAGGGACTGGAAGTACCAATCTAAACCCTAGTGGGTGAAATCAAACCCTTTCTTTCATCACTTCCCCAGTTCACCTCCAAGAGCGATAATACTAAAATCGAACCCAGAAACCCCAACTCAGACTGAAGAATCAAAATCCAAACCATTGACGAAGAGCCTAACTTTCAGCATCAGATCCAGCAAGCAAAAGCCCGGCATTCCAACTCGCAAGAAAAGAAAGACAGGAACAGAACAATAATAAGTCGAGCTGTACCTAGAAAGAGAGAGTGACGGCGACTGATTGAACGAGGAAATTGAATTCGGGAGTGGGTAGGAGTGGGCGTGTGAGGATTGTGGAGGACTTTATCTTATCGGCCGCTTTCTCCCGGGACTACGATTACCAGTGGGTTTCATGAAATTCCTTCTTGCTGCAATTAAGAGAGTGTAGGAAATGAAGGGGAGGGATCCAAACCAATACAATAGTATACCAACTGCAGTGAAACTCGGGAAATGAAAGAGACGGCCAATTGGTATCTACTGGCTGTCTGGCTGTGGCCCAAGTAGTTTTCTCCGTCCTCTCAATCCCCTTTTTACTGTTTTTGATATTTTCCAGTTTTACCTTTTATGGTTTTATACTTTTATAATTTATTACATTTGATGCCTAATACCAAAAATGCACCTATAATTTAGGATTTATTCCCTATGTTTTGGATTCTTTTCAGATTATCCTAGTTACTAAATTAAATTTCTCAAATACCCAAAATTATGGTTTATTCTCCAAAATGTCCGATTTGACATAAAACATTGCTAATCAAAGTGTTTTACCAACAAAATGATGCAATATGAGAGTTGAAATGGACATAGCACGAATGACCTTTATATACTCCATTAAGGGACTCCCCATTGTTTGTTGTGGTTATTCCAAATCTTGCCCCATCATCTTGGTTAGGGCAATTACTCGTCCTTGTCCCGTCCTTAACCATGTCTGACCTATTCTTGAATGGTCAAGATGTATAACTAACCTGTTCTGTCCCTGTCTCCTTCTTGACTCTGTCTAACCCTCAAGGGATGGGACGAGTCGGGTCAGTGGGTCGATCCTAATCTACACAGTACTTTTTTTACAAATTACATTTTGGTATCAAAAATTATTTTTTCTTACAATTTAGTACCTAAAATTTATTTTTTTACAAATAAGTCCTTAAATTTTGGTGGTAAAATTACATTTTGATACCCAAATTTTTTATTTTTGCAATTTACTACATAAAATTTTAAAACTTTTACAAAGAGGTCCAATGTGGTATGAGATATTTGTTGTTGGTAAGGGTCACAAGGTCAAAAAGTGACTCGTCCCTAAGTTGACCTGACCTGTCCCTAAACTGACCCTATAGACAAACTGACCCTTCTTGACCCTTAGGGACGGGACGGGTCGGGACGGGTCAGTGGGTTTTTAGGGTCAAACTTACACCTTTCTTGGTGGAATGTCCATTTGTACAAACCTTGTGACACTATCCTTGATGCACCCTCTCTATGAATGGCTCGGATAGACTTCATATTTTTCTCAAACTTTCAAACTTGGAAGGTAGTAGCTATTACAAAAAAAAACACAAAGTAAACAATAAAAAGTTAAAAGTATTTTGTAATAACATAACAACAAAATTTTCACATAATTATGTATGCTTACTGGTCCACCATAGATGTCGTTTTATGAAGATCCAACTGAATTTTTTATTGATAGTTACTTGCAACGACTTCTCCCAGCTTTGGTCGACCCCACGCTCTGTCCTCTTATTTTTCACCATCGACCACTTAACAACCAAAACTATGTCTCCATATGCACTACTTCAGTTCCTCTCCCATTAGTATCCAACTTTAGATGGCACAACCTTCTTTCTTACTCTTCACCATCATAATATGTAAAACATTTATGATTGCTTAAAACGCCTAGGCACCGTCTAGGCGTCATAGGCACTAGGCAGGACCCTAATGCATGTCTACCGTCTAGTGTCTTCTTGAACCTTGCTTTCAACTACTACAATGACAAGTGGAAAATTTTATTTGTTAACATTAACTCATGTGGCAATAAGTATGGTGCCTTTGTACTTTCGGCTAGAAATAAGACATCAACTACTATAAGGGGAAGACAATGCTTGAACCCATCAATGCATGATTCGAATGCCCAGAATAGGCGATCAAACATAAGTTTATCTTGCACCACCATACCCCCAACTGAAAAAGGTTGTACTTTTGCACAAAAATGGACCCAAGATTTTTTATATTCAATCGCTAGTATCAGTTTTGGGAGCTCGGCAAAGGATCCAACCCAATCATCGTATACGTTCGCCATTTCCTTCTCCTTTCCGTGTCATGCCTTCTTATACTTGATGGTGTAGCCATGGCGCTCTCTAACTTCTGCAATGAAGATTTTGATGGTGATGCTAAGGTCTGCCTCTACCAGGTGCTTAATGGTGTCACCCACAACTCACGCATTGAGGTTACAGTGATCTTGTGAGATTGAGGGAGAGATGCAAGTGTGATTGTTTTCTACCTTATGGATCAGCCATGCCCCCTTCTGCTTGCCCATGTAGCCCGAAAATTCCACATACAACCTTGTTCTTCATTCATGCATTTAACACATATATGGGTAGTGTCCAATTTTTCACCAAATACTGAAAATTTTGCTAGATAACCTCTTATTTAAAGCGGCTAGGATGTCGTCCTTTGTCTCAAACGAAATCTCCACCTTACACTGTAAAGTTGAATCCTACACAGTCAAGGGATAACCTCCTCATCATCATTGTCGCCCTCTTGGCTCATTAAAGCCAAATCTTTTGCAACTTCTTCTCCACCAGTGTACCCCCAGAAGTTCGGTTACTTGGTGATCATCATACTTATCACCACTGTACGACATAGGCGACGAGGATCGAGCTCTTGAATGTGCATTATGACCTCCAACAATATCCCATTCAGGTTCCCATGGTGGCCACTCACTCTCAACAGGGTGGACAGGTACAAGTTGTGCTACACTACTGCATAGCCTACATAACCACCAAAACCACATGCACTACCATGGGAGTGATAGGAAGTTGCACCACCATGATAGTCATAGGACCCTCCCCCATCACCCACCTCCTCACTGTCAACATACACTTCAGCCTCACCAATATAGTTTTCATCCAATAATTGGATCATGTCAATTTTATCGTTGTCATTGAGGACTAATTCTTCATAGAGAAGAGTACCTCCACTAAACTTGGCAATCGGTAGGTCATTTTAGAAAATCTCCATTACCCAGCATGCACACTCAGTCTAGACAACTTTGATTGAATTCTTGCAACATTGCTGGCAATAGTAATTGCAGCAATTTCACCACCTTTGTAATCAATCCCAGTACGGTAGTTTTTCGTCATTCGACCATTCCGCCGTATACGCAACTGGATTTTTGTAAATCTTTTCCTCATATATGCATTTTTCAAATAATGGATTATCACATAACATTCATTTACCATCGAATTAGGTTCTCAAACCTAATCTAACATACATTCAAAACTCTAATCTAACCTACAATCTACATTCAAAACCCCAATGTTCACACCACCCAACAACCATAATTAATGAAACATTCTTACTTTATGAAGATAGGGCCACCATCACACAAACTGTCATGGAAGAAAATTGAGAGAATTGACGAATATAGTAATGAACAAATTGAGAGAGACTGGAGAGGAAAGGGGTTAGAAGGAGCTTCATTCTTCAGCTACTAGAGGAAGACAAGTGTGCATGCAGATAGAAGATGTGAAGTGGGGTGATCTTATTTCATTTTTCCAGTATAAAATGCTTCCAATTCAAGTGATTTTGCTCAGATATCCCTGCCATCATATCGACAACCATATCTTCTTAAATTGGGTGAAATAATTGATCTTCTTTAAAGCACTTCAACATAGGCATTTTACAGCAAAGCGCCTTTATGCCAAAGCATTTTACCTTTGTTTAAGTGCTACACCATTTCTAATTTTTTTATAGCTTTTTTCCAACGTGTCAATGACTAGGCTCCAATTGTTACCAAAATCAGAGTTCTCAACAACCACCTCATCAAAGGCCTCCGCAAGACCAAGCTCTA